CGGAATCAGCTCAAACTTTTTATGCAACATAAGTACATGTATATGCATCAGGAAATGTAATAAAATTGAGGAATTTTCTATTTGTCAATTTTGGTAAAATTTGGCCAAAATCCCTGTACTATAGTACAGGGACTTTTGTCCGATTTTGGAGCAACTTTAAAAAATCATAATAAATCCAAACTTGATCGGAATCAGCTCAAACTTTCTACGCAACATAAATACATGTATATGCATCAGAAAATGTAATAAAATTGAGGAATTTCCTATTTTTCAATTTTGGTAAAATTTGGCCAAAATCCCTGTACTATGTACAGCCTTTGGTCATTTACCCAATTTTTGAGCAACTTTTAAAAATTCATAAAAAATTCAAACTTGATTGGAATCATCTCTACACAACATAAAAAACATTAATATGTATCAGAAAAAAAGTTATAAAAATAGAAAAATTTGTCTTTATTTCATGATTTTTGTCAAAATACCCTGTACTATAGTAACCTAGCTATACTATTCAATATTTTTGTGACCATACATGTAGTTTAATGCAAAAATGAGATTTATAACACTTTATGCTCTATTCTGTACTACTTGATTATTACAATGTCATAATAGGTAATTGGTTTAGCTGGTGTATTTTCTCTTGATCACCCAGAAAGAGCTAAGGCAATGACGTGGACAATGACTGGCCTTTCAACCCTATCACTGTAAGTTACCTACACACCTGAAGTGATTGTTCATTTACTCTTACAGATTAATGCTCCTTTTTTATTTTGAGCATTACAAAAGACTAAGTGTGGACACAACAGCAAAACAAAAAGAAAATCAAAATAAATGCTTGCGTAAACTTTTACCAGATAACGATGAAAAACAATTATTACTAAATGACTAAAAAATAGTCGTTAAATTGTTTTATAATATAATTATTTCAATTTTTATCATTATCATTATTGTGAAAAATGATTACCTGCATGGGGTGCCCCAGCCATAATTAAATTTAACTTTATATTAGCTGCTTGAACCATTTTGCATGCAGTTGCAAGTACATTGCACCCATTTTAATATTTGACCAAAACTTTTATAAATATTCTTTACAAAAAAGAAAGACTAAACTAAGAATGAAGTTACTAAAATGTTCAAACTATAAAAGCTACTTCTACTTAAAATTGTTTTGTTTCTTGTCTACATGACATAAAACTCATATTGATCAATTCCAATGTTTTCATATTTTATCGATTCATCACTGCATACCCTCATCTCAATGTTATCAGTAGTAGTATACCCAAGAGACTTGCGGAACCAAGGGAGAAGAGGGCGATTACAGCATGGTGCTTCTTGTCCTCTACATTTTTTCTTGTCCCAAAGTGGATCAGATGAAGCAAAGCGGTTTTGTGGCCCATGACTGAAACCAGATTCACAGTAGAAATCATTCCCAACAAATAGTGCTGGTTTGACTTTGGCACCATTATTACAAGGACATGCGTTGTAATTATTTTTTAAGGACTCAGAATAACCAGCTGCCAATGTCCAGATGTGCTTGCGAGGAGAGCCATGTGTGATACTAACTCCATCAACATAAGGTGAGTCAATGCTGGATGACTTGCGATGGTGAAAGGCATCCAAACTATATTTTTGATATCCTCTGACCCGTCCACATACTATAGAATATGGTACACCTTGTGATGGGATTAATACGGAGTTACAGCCAGCTCTATTCTTGGTACATATTCTAGTACCACTTTGTGTTACCATGTGAAGTGAAGAAGGACATTTAGCTGAACTTACCATCATATCCAGTTTCCCTAGTCTTGTCCATCCTCCTCCAACGCCACATAATGTTCCCATGTCACAGTAGACTTGAATATTACGGTTGTTAATGGTTATGCGATATACACCTGATTGACTGCTGGGATTATCTTTCTTGATATCT